CATGTATTTACAAATAATTAACTCATACTTGCATTCATAAATTAATTAATTTGCTCATTCACTCATTCATTCCCTCTTATTCAGAAACTGCAGTAAGCTGTGTGTACAACAATGACCAAAGCAGACAAGTGTAGGCTCTCATGGAACATACAGACTAGTTGGAGAGGCAGACATTAAACAAATTACATATAATTATAAAGAAGAGTGAAAAAGGAAAACTTAGATTCAGGAATGGGTGAATTTTCTCAAAGCTGTACTGAGCATACATTTAAAAAATATATATATTTTATTGATTTTTTTACAGAAAGGAAGAGAGAGGGACAGAGAGTTAGAAACATCGATGAGAGAAAAACATTGATCAGCTACCTCCTGCACACCCCACACTGGGGATGTGCCCGCAACCAGGGCACATGCCCCTGACTGGAACCGAATCCAGGACCCCTCAATCCACAAGTTGACACTCTATCCACTGAGCCAAACCAGTTTCAGCCTGAGCATACATTTTTTATATTAATATTGGAGGTCCAGTGCACAGATTCGTGCACTGGTGGGGTCCCTCGGCCTGTACTGTGCCCTCTCGTGGATGTCAGAGGCCTGGTGCACAGATTTGGCCCAGTCCATGAATATATATGTATGTTATTGCTTTTCTTTCTTTCCTGTTTAAAAAAAATATATATTTTATTGAGTTTTTACAGAGTTAGGAACATCAATGAGAGAGAAACATTAATCAGCCTTCTGCACCCTCCTACTGGGGATTGCCTACAACCAAGGTACATGCCCTTGACTGGAATCAAACCTGGAACCCTTCAGTCTGCAGGCCGATGCTCTATCCATTGAACCAAACCGGTTTCGGCTACTTTTGTTTCTTTACCATATTATTTGTTTAGAACTTATGTAAGAGCCACAGATGAGCAAACTTGCCTTTCACTGGGTGTTGGGTGTTGAGATAGCCCTAACGTACAGTTTGAAAGTACAGTCAGATGGTGCTCCGGTTATGGAATAGCTCTGACAACCGTATGGTCCTTCGTGATGGGCTTGAAGTTCAGTTGAGTCAGCTGTGAGATCGAAGGCAGAGGCTCACTAAAGGTTCATTCAGGTGAGGAGCATTCTCCAGAAACCCTGCTTGCATTTCCAGGGAACTGTAGTTCCTAAACCATCCTGCAGTAATAAATAAGTTTTAAGTAGAAAATGTGTAAGTTATACATCCTAGCAAACTTTATCCATTTTATTTCTTGAAGCATCTAAAGTAAGTGCACATTTCATCAATTGAAAAAATATTTTATTCTTATAGTGGGAAAAATTAAAACATAATTCACAGTAATAGGCTCTGCAATATTTCTAAAATGCCAAAAAATCTAGACCAGCTAAGCAATCTGACTTTTAGTTATATATGACATACATCCTAGGTCTACTATATGTTTGTAGAAGCACCAAAAGATGCCATAAATACATGGCTACTTTAATAAATCCAGAAATAATCTTTCTGTTGTATAGGAAAAAAAGTTTTATTTTTGATTCCTACTATGTTTTAAAGGGCAGTATTTCTTGGTTTTCTGGTGAGTCTTAGAGAAAACTTTTTAATAGTATGAGTACCTGAGAAATATAGTACTTTCATAATATAGCTTTTTATTCATTTTTACTGAAAGTTACTATTTTGCTCAGATATTTAACTCTATTTTTGTGATTCTTGCTACTATCCACAATTCTACTGAAGTAAATTTCTTTTTTCCCTTTTCTAGTCCAAATATTCTACAGCAGTATTTACAACAAAGACTTTTACATGTTGAGAAAAAGGATGTTTGCATTCATTAATTCATTCATTCATTCACTCACTCAAAGGATATGTATTATATGTCCATTTGCCCATTACGTTCCAAATACTATTCTTAGGTTGAGGAAATCAAAGTGAATAAAACAGACAAAAATACATGCTTTCATTTACCTTCCTTTATGGTGTGTGGAGACAGAAAATAAGCATAGTGAATAAATAAATTATATTTTTGCATTAAAAGGTAATGAGTGCTACAAAGAAAAACATACCAGGGCATCTGGAACCACACAGTTTATTTTAGAATTGTTTCTTTTTGATAGAGACCAAACCATATTAATTGAAAAGTTTCTAGAATTCCTATTATAAAAGCAGAGTTACACTATAACATTATTAATCAACTTCATATATTTAACATCATTTATTGATAGGACACTATATTACACACTTTAATGTAGAAAATATACTCAATTTCCAATATAACCTCATGAGGCAGGATTTGTTACTACACATACGAAACACCCTGATAAAGAGTGATTCAATAACTCTCCCCCGCAGAGGAAGCAAGCGATTAGCACAGTCTGAATTCACATCCAGATTTTGGATTTCCCAATGCTTCTCTAGTCTGACTCTGCTTTGCTTCATGCAACACTCCAACTCTTTATTACAACATCTGTCCTCTGCTTTATTGAAGTGGTAGAAAGGTTTCAGATTTGGAAATCCTCCCAGTAAGAATCTGTTCAGTTAGTAAAACAACTTTCACGTAGTCTAGCAGAATGATTTCCGAGGGACTTTTCTGTTGATCTTTCAAAAAGTGCAAGAGGGAAGTGGTTTAGGGATTAGAGTGTCATTAGATCAGAATATCTCACTTTTCAATCAGATTCTGAGATTTGCAAGTCTCAAGTTTAGTTGTAGTGGTGCCCAGCTTGAATGTATTTTTCCACTAAATATATAACTTCAAAATTTCCTGAGGAATCAGGAGCTTTTATTTCTAAAAGTGCTGCTCTTGGCATTGGCTAATCCCCATTTGCTGGTGCAGTTGACACACTGTTAGCACAGTTTTCATTTCGCATACCCAGTGCATGCACCTGTTGCCAGACTGGCTAAAACCGTTCTCACTCCTTGGTATTGGGCTACTCCGCTGATACAGTGTGTTATAAATATTGCAAGGACAGGGCGGTTTGTAGGACAGGATGATACAACATAATTTGACTGGCAAGCTCATTTTCTATTTGGTCCCCGTAGCCGGAGACATGAGTTAGAATTTCAGCCTATGTCAAGGTTATTACAAAAATGGCCAGTCCTTATATTTCATTTAGAATAGGCTCTCTATAAGGTATATTAGTAAGAGTTACCTCTGTGTTGCTTAACCTGGTCCTGATTGGGGGTGGGGGGGCAGGAGAGGAATGGTATCTTCCTAAATAATAACTTGAAGTTTGAAACTACCATCTCTTTACGTGAAATCAGTGCTATACTTGAACCGGCTATAATAGAGAAACACTTCCTGGGATTGCGTGAGACAATAATACGAGAAGGGAATTCTGGCCACTGCACTTTGCTTGAGTGACGCCGATATATTTGGAAGCATCTGTCTTCCTCTTCCACCTTGATGCACGTTTGCTTATTTTGGCCTCCTGGGTGCTACTGGTTCCCTCTGACTCCCGTGTCCAAAGGTTCGAACTGTATTGAGGTTCAAGTGCTCCTTCTTAGACGTTTATCATTGCAAACTAGAACCAGATTTTTTGGGAAAAGCACGTCCCAATTTGCAGTTAAACTCTTGAGTTCAAATAGTTTCCTTTCCAATAAACGTGATATCCTTTAGTCAGTCATGTTTTGCCAAAGTACCTCGCACAGAGAGTGTGATTAGGTAGAGTTCTATTCCTTTCCATGATATTCATCACACGTCTGTATGGGACAGGTAGAGCTCAGAACCAGAAACGTTTTTCCTGACTCTCTGATCTTTATGATACGGTATATTGCTTTAAAAAAATATTTTATTGATTTTTTACAAAGAGGAAGGGAGAGGGATAGAGAGCTAGAAACATTGATGAGAGAGAAACATGGGCCAGCTGCCTCCTGCACACCCCACACCAAGGATATGCCCGTAACCAATGTACATCCCCTTGACTGGAATCGAACCTGAGACCGCTCAGTCCATAGGCCAACTCTATCCACCGAGCCAAACCAGTCTTGGCATGATACGGTATATTGTTATTTTTAAAACACAAAGTTAGTACCTCTTCTATGCCGGACACAGTTCTAAGCACTTTACAAATGTTAACTCCTTAATCCTCACAGCATCTTGGGAGGAAGGGATTGTCCAAGGTCACACACATGGTGCTAGTGGGGCCAGGGGATTCAAACCCAGCAGCCTGGCCCCAGAGTTTCTGTCCTCTTGCACTCCACTGTGCATTGTGTAGTAATTTTCAGATGATTCTCTCTCATCGTTGATGTTTCTTTTTCCCTCTCCCTCTCCTTTCCTCTCTGAAACCAATAAAAATATACTTAAAAAACATTATAAAAATGTCATTCTTTCTACTTGTCAGCGAGAAAACTCCCTTTTTTTTAATGGTATTTCCAAACGTTTTTGTGAGAACGGGAATGTTTACTTGGAGGACACAAAACTGTTGGAGGGATAACCTAAAACCATGACACTCTGCTAGCTCCCCTCACACAAAGACCCACCCAGTCTCACTTTGCTGCATCCGGAGAGAAGCTGTAGCAGCATATGTCTCCAAAGGGCTCTGGGATTGCTTCTCAGCTGTGGCACTTCCTGAACAATTCCTTCCAGAACAAAACCCAGCCTCTCTCGGAGTCCGCGTCCTCGCCATGTCTACCCAGAAGACCTGTTATAAGATAATGCAGCTGGAAGGACTTTAGAGAAGCACAATGCAGATGGCAGGCATTGCTGTTCGTGTACATCTTCAGCTAGAATTGCGCTCTGTATTTCTGCACCACAGTATTCCTCTAGGAGCTCCCTGTATTAATGGCCCCCACATTTCAACGTCCTGGAATAGTGAAAAAAACGCAGTGCACCTTCAGTTCTTGCATAGGAGGTTGTCTCTGTCCTCGTCAGCCTTTCAGAGAACATGTCTTTCCTGTCTAGAGAAAAAAAAAAACTTAAAAGATAACTTTCCAAATGGCCCTTGGTTTGCACGAGTGATGTTCTTCCAGAGAAAGATGCTGTTTCCTCTGGAGTTTTTATGCCTCCTTTCTTTGTTTTTTTTTTTAGATGGGAGAATCCGTGGAGACCCACTTTGGCAGCCACGGCAGAAGGGCCATACTCTACCGGCCTCCCTCCTCCAGCACAACGGAGCTCCTGCTGCACCAGCACATCCTTGCTCACCTTGGTTACACCGTGGTCGTCACCGAAGAGAAGCCCGGGCCTGACCTTGGGCTGGAGCTACTAGGAAAAGGTCAGAATGGGAGAGTCTTTACTGAAGTGGCTTGGCATGGAATGTTAAATAATTCCTGGAATGTGCTGTTCTCTTCCTCTGAAAGAACTCAGAAACACAAAATTTTCTCCCTGATCAGCTTTCTTGCCTCATAGAAAACTTGGCTCCTTTTCTACTTCCTCTCAATGTTGCTTTGGCTAGATGTCTTTATTCTTGAAATTATTTTGCTTGTGTTTTTGTAGCATTTTGGAGTTGCATAGTTCATGCGTAAATGCTACGTGAAACATGTTTATGTTTATGAGCCCGAGTACATGATCTGCCCAGCGCCGAACTGCTCATATTTTAAGAAAATTGCCAATTCATCTGACTGCAAGTGGAATGTGCTGGGAATTGTTTCCAGAAGCCAGCTCCGGTGTGATTCATAGACGGTCTGTAACTGTGAAAGAAGTGTGCATATTTATCACATGTGCGATTGCTGGCCAACTACTTTTCTTTCCTTCATGTGCAGTGAAAAATAAAAGATGAGTGTTTAAACAAGTTATTTGAAAAAGAGAGCTGAAGAGCTGATAAGGGCCAAAAAGGGACTAACAATAACAGCTAACGCTTGTTGGACAACTAACCTTGTGACAGATACTGTGTTGTGTTCTGTGTCCATGACTTCATTTCATCCCCACGAAACCCTCTGTGTGCCCTGAGCTTAAGGCACATTAACTCCTCTCCCTGATTTTCCAGAAGAGGAAACTGAGGTTTCAGGAGGCGAAGAGACTCACCCTGCATCTTACACTTGGGTTCGGGAGTGGCAGGACTTGAAGGCCGGTGTTCCAGCCCTCACCTCTGTGCTCCTCCTCCTCCCCTCTCCGCTGCCCCAGTCTCTCTTTGGGCCCAGGACCCTGCTTGACTCTGTCCTTGTTAAACCCACAAGGAGGTGGAGTGCTCACTCACAGGAGCAAATCTGATTCTTCTCTTTGTAAAAGAAGGAAGAAAAGCAGTTTGAATCAACCGCTGGACTTGGTTTTCTTTGGGAGAGAAAATGCAGATCCCGGAGCCATAATAATATTTATTTTTCCTTCAAGTTTCAACAATCATGCCGTCCTCATAGCTCTTCTGCAGCTAGGTGTCCCCCACCAACTCACCCCACCCCCCATACTCTTTAAAGTGCTATGCTAGTGAATGGAAGATTACTCTTGACCACGTTCACCTTTTACCACATTGACTGTAAACTTGTATGCTACTTAGCTAGCAAAGCTCCCACGGGTTAGAGGGGGGAAAAAATCTACTTTATCCACTTTGGCTCTGGTCAGTTGCTCAGTAGTTAGAGCATCATTCCGCTGACTGTGGCGTTGTGGCCTCGATTGTGGCCTCGATTCTCAGGCCAAGGGCATGTACCTTGGTTGCAAGTTCAATCCTGGGCTGGTAGGGCAGTAGCTGGGAGGCAACAGATTGATGCTTCTCTCTTTCTTTCTCTGCTCCCTCCACTTCTACTCTCTCTAAAATTCAGTGGAAAGCTGAAACCAGTTTGGCTCAGTGGATAAAGCGTCAGCCTGCAGACTGAAAGGTCCCGGGTTTGATTCCGGTCAAGGGCATGTACCTTGGTTGCAGGCACGTCCCCAGTGCGGGGTGTGCAAGAGACAGCTGATCGATGTTTCTCTTTCATCGATGCTTCTAACTCTCTATCCCTCTTTCTTCCTCTCTGTGAAAAATCAATAAAATATATTTAAAAAAAATAAAATAAAATTCAGTGGAAAAAAATATCCTCACTCCTCAGGTGAGGATTAAAAAATATTCTCTCCCCCCCCCCCCCCAAAAAAAAATCCACTTGGATGAAAAGAAAGGTATTAAAAGGGTGGAGGGTATGGGTCCTGAGGACAGGAGTGCATTTGGTCCCTGGCTTGGGAGGGGTAGATGGAAACCTAGAGCCCTGGGTTCTGGAAGCTCAGGAGGAAAACAGGGAGGCTGGACGCTCTGGCATATCCAAGAAAGCTGGCGGCGAACTTTATAAATGCCGTCAGTGCTGGTTCTAATACGAAGGACCAATCTAGAACATCCGTAAATGATAGTTCCAGAAAACCATTTAGAGAGCAGAAAAGCTGTAAAACACTTATTCTCCAGGGCGGTGAGAGGGTGTGTTCCTGGGATGGAGGAGGCAGATCCTCGAGGAGAAGCCCCTCGAATTTCACTCCAGGCAGCTGGGGCAGGGCAGGGGGCAGCCTGGGTGGTCAGCGGGGCTGGTTCTGTGTGGGGAGGACAGTGGGGTTGGGTGCTGTTTGGGGGAATGGGTGCGAGGGGTCGTGTGGTCAGCGGGCACCTGGGGACCTTGGCGGCCTTGAAGGCAAGTTGGGGCAAGAAGTTGGAGAGTGGAGGATACAAGAAATGAAGAGAAGAGATATGTCACCTATGAAGAAGGGGCAATGTTGGCTACAAGCAGAATTGACTAAAAGTCTGGGAAAAAGCACTTCTATAAGTCTCAGGTGGTCCCACACACCGCAGCATAGGTACCCCCAGCTATCCCAAACCCATGCCAGACACCACGCAGGTGCCATAAGACACCCCCTTCATACTTTCAGGAACCAGAAAACTGTCCAGACACCCGCCTAGGTCTGTTAGATCCCCAACACTAACATTCAGAATCTGAAAAACAGGCCAAAGAACCCCAAAGTACCACATACCTTCATTCTGAAGCCATCCAGTCACCCTAAACAGACTTTCAGAAACAGAGGAACATATGAACCCCTACATGGAAACTTCTAGATCCTCCCCTAGAACACAAACCAGACACCCCTCTCCCCAAATCTATAATAATAAAAGCATAATATGCTAATTAGACCAGGCAGCTATACAGTGGAACAACCATCAGGATGACCTTCTGGATGAAGCCAGGGCTGCAAGGGTTAAGCTCCTTGCACGAATTTCATGCATCAGGCCTCTAGTTAAATAAATAAATCTATATATATATAAAGTGCTAATATGCAAAGTGTTCCCTCAGGAGTTTGACCCAGAGACCAGGAGTTAGATCACTTGCTATGACATGCACTGACCACCTTCCAGCACAAAATGAAGGAAGGCCCCTGCTGGCCAGTAGCTGGCAGCTGGGGAAGGAAGGCCCTGGCCAGCAGCCAGAAGGCCCCAAACTGATCTGATCACTGGCCAGGTCTAGGTACCCCACTTATGTATGAATTTCATGCACTGAGCCTCTAGTAAACAAACAAATAAATAAGTAAATAAATGCTCATTCTCCCTCTCATCCCACACAATAGGTTAGCCCATCAGTGAACCTGGTGACTGTGTGTGGCCATCGCCTGCGTAGCCGGTGAGTGGTGCAGAGCCTGGGCCCCGATCACACACTACTGTGGTCGCAGTTCCTCTTCCTTGGCCTCCTCCGTGCTGTGCCTGGCTGGGTACGGGCATAGCATGGGTTATTTCAACTTTCATTCCGTTTTAATGTTCAGTTTTCTCCAGTTGCTCCACCGCGGGAATATGTCTCCTCTCTTCCTTGATGTCCTTGGGTCAGTTTTACAAGGAAAAGGAGGATTACTTTGCAGCTTAAAATATCCCGAAAGGCAATGGGATCTGGCAGCTCCAGGAGCCCAGGGGCTCCGCAAGCAGCACAAGATAACTGAGTGGCGTCCCCGGGGTGTCAGCATAAATGCTGGATTGGCTGCTCTTCCCCACGTCCCCTCAGCTTTTAACACATCCATCTCCTAACTCTTTCTAGGTATTCTTTTACTTTGTTTTTTAAATATATTTTTTTTATTGATTTCAAAAAGAAAGGGAGAGATAGAGAGATAGAAACATCAATGATGACAGAATCATTGATTGGCTGCCTCCTGCATGCTTCCCATTTGGGGAATTGAGCCCACAACCCAGGTATGTGCCCCCTGTTGGAAACGAACCCAGGACCCTTTAGCCCCCAAGCTGACGCTCTATCCACTGAGCCAAACTGGCAACGGCTATTCTTTTACTTTGTAGAGTAAGATATTGTTCCTGGATAGGCCTCAAGAAAGGGCAGCAATTCCACAAGTATGGAAAATTATTATTTTTTTTTTTTGTTTTTCATTTGATTTTGTCGTTTTCTCTGAGCTCACTATGCATTGAATACCTGAAATAAAAAAGCTCTGTGATTATAAGCTGACATTTTCTCGATTACCTAACATATAAAATAAACCACTGTGTTATTGCAGCTTATTTGCCATGGCTACAAGTTTAATGTACAGATTATGTTTGCACAGAGGCACTTACTACAAAAAAACGTTTTCTAGACACTCGAGTCTGGTAAAATTTGTTTTGCTTTGGTTTCACGTAGCCGCCTCATGCTTATTCTGCTACATATGCAGCCACAGCAAGTCTGAGACTATGTTGGCGCTTTGAAACCTAATCTTCTCCCATGGAGCAGCCCAGGGGAAGTGGAAGCAACTTAGAATGATCTAGAAAGCTACCTACCATCTTTCACTTCACCACTGCAGAGTCTGCTGTTTGCTAGCCAGAAATTGGAAATATTATTACATTAGAGACAAAACTTACTAATTACCCAGGTGTAGACTTGACACTTTATTTATTTGTTTGTTTGTTTATTTATTTATTTATTTATTTTTACCTTGGACTTATTTTATTACTGGCAAAGCTGCATATATTCTTGGGTTTATTACCTGTTTACTTTTTCTATCGGAACAATTTGAAGGAATTCCTACCCCACACTCAGCCTCTTTCCCCAGTGATCATTGATTCTCTTCCTCTGATGAGAAACTCTGTCATGCACTCAGGGAAATATAAATGGAGGACTGACTAGGCTAAGATGCAGGGTGCTGAGAAAAACAAGTCACTATAGTTACATAGATGGAGAGAGAAAGGTCACCCATTGTACCTTAAGTCTTAATGCCACAGAGGGGGCGGGGGAGGGGCAGAGATAGTTTACATTTATACCATGAGGGCTTCATGGTGACAGCTAATGGGTGGAATATCTCCAAATCTATTTAAGGTTTCTACTTTTTTTTTTTTTTTTTTTTTTTTTTTGTGTGTGTGTGTGT